TCTGAGGGTATACTGCCAATCTCCATGGAGGCTCTGTTTAACAATCTTGGCAAATTCACGGAGGGAAGTTTCAGACATTGACCATATCTTGTAGTGAATCCTATTAAGTTCCTTCTGGGAGAATTAGTCATAAGTAAAAATGACTTTAGTCATGCCGGCCACATGACCACGGAAATGTCTTCGGACAGTGCTGGCTCTTCGGCTTTGAAACGGAGATGAGCACTGCAACCCTAGAGTCGGATTCGACTGGCTTTCGAGCAAGGGAATCTTTACCTTTACCTAAAAATGGAAAAGCTGTTTAAATGGAACATATCCACTGAAAATATTACCACCAGTTGCTTTGGGCAACGGAAATGGGGAAGGGCTGCATCAAAAACACTTTGCTCTCACTGCTGACAATTTTTGAATTTCCCAAGAGGCGCAAATTTATAAGAGTTGGATGCATGAGGGACAAAATAAGGGTCTGTTTTGGAACTCTATGCGGCACACTTCCGACTGTCTGTTTCGTAGCCATTTGTTAAAGGGAATCTTTGGGAGTTCTACAGCAGCCATTTTGGAAACCTGGGGTAGATCCTCACCACAGATTTTAAACAGGCGTTGTAAAGATTTGACAGTTGTGGCTTCTCTCAGAGAAGTGTAGTTTTGTGTCAGCGGCAGATGTCAGGGCTCCGGGATGGGGCCTCGATATTTAACCCGGCTTTACGTTTGTGTAGGCCTGTCCTAATTATCTCTGCATGTCTTTTTATCTCTTTTTTTGACCCACGTAGTTTGGAACCAGGAGGGGCTGGGGGAGGGGAGCCCCCGCCGTCCTTTCTGCTTCCCCAGTCTGAGGAGAATGAGCCGCGTGTTTCGGAACTGGAGCTCGAACCGCCGAACTGGCGGGAGCTCGTCGGCCCCGATACCCTCCTCAGGCTGAAGAAAAGTGAAGTGAAGCGGCAAGAGGTGATCAACGGTACGTGAGGTGCCCCGGATCCCGGAGGGGGTACTTCTCCTCAGAATTATACGGGAGTATGGGAAATGTAACAGTTAAAGGCAAGGGAAGGGGAATTCGTCATCTCTGAGGCAGAGTTGAATTATTTCCTTCCGAGCTACAGAGGAGGGCTGTCCCCTTCTCAGTGGGAGGCACTGTTACTGGGAATGTTGACACAGCATGTGTTGGGCGCAGCCACAAAATGGCTGCCGCAGGAGTTGGAGCCAGTCACAAAATGGCTGCCGTAGGAGTTGGAGCCAGCCACAAAATGGCTGCCGCAGGAGTTGGAGCCAGCCACAAAATGGCTGCCACAGAAGTTGGAGCCAGCCACAAAATGGCTGCCACAGGAATTGGAGCCAGAGAGGGCTGTGGTGGCAGTTGCTGCCAAAGCAACGTTTTTAAAAATCGGCAAAGCCAATCAGACTTTCAATGGCGAGTGAGAAGCTTTGCTGGGAAAAGCCCCACCTGGTCCAGTACCCTTTGTCTAGAAATACTTGTAGGTCTCCAGGAAAGTTGTTGGCGGGCACCGTGCCGGGGAGCCCTGATATAGGCAGTATAGAAGTATAGCCTTGCTCTAACCTTCCTCCTGCTCTCCCTCCACCTCCAGAGTTGTTCATCACAGAGCATGCCCACGTGCGAATGCTGCGGGTGCTGCTGGAGGTCTTCTACCAACCTCTGCTGACCGAAGGCTTCTTTGGGGCCACTGACCTGGAAAACATCTTCCCCAGCTTAGAAGACTTGGTCGATGAACACAGTAAGAGCGGGGGCAGTGGGGAAGCCCCCCCCCAAACCCATGGGCTTCAGGTTTATTGGTCTGGAATGATGGTTCTGTATTAATAATCGCCGGTGTCATTTATTTATCATTTTGATTTGTGGATCACTCCGTCCCTGAATATTCAGGACTCTGAGCGATGTACAACGGTCATAAATTACATCAAGATAAAAACAATTCAACACTTGAGCCATTTCAATCATTAGGTTTGAATCCATTAGGACCTGAAGAGACTGACAAAATTTCCTGGGTGTAGATTTCATAGCAGACCGTGGATCATAAGAACATAAGAGAAGCCGTGCTGGATCAGGCCAACGGCCCATCCAGTCCAACACTCTGTGTCACACAGTGGCCAAAACCCAGGGACCATTGGGAAGTCCCCTAGCGTGACCAGAACTCCAGAAGCCCTCCCACTGTGGCCCCCCCAAGCACTAAGAAGACAGAGCACCACTGACCCAGACGGAGTGTTCCATCTGTACCTTGTGGCTAATAGCTACTGATGGACCTCTGCTCCACATGGTTCTCCAATCCCCTCTTGAAGCTTTCTATTCTTGTAGCCGCCCCCACTTCGTTGCAGTGAATTCCACACGTTCATTACTCTTTGGGTGAAGAAGGACTTCCTTCGATCTGTTCTAAGCCCACTGCTCCTTAATTTCATTGGGTGCGCACCAGTTCTTGTATTGCGAGAAAGGGAGAAAAGCACTTCTTTCTCTACCTGCTCTACCCCATGCATAATTTTGTAAACCTCTATCATATCATCCCTCAGTCGTCGTTTCCCCAAAAAGAGCCCTGAGTCCTCTAAGAAAGGCCTTTCTGACTTCCAGGGCGTTCTCAAAGAGCCTTTGTTTTGGCGGTGTGTGTGTGTGTGTACAGGGATCGGGGGTCTAGCAGCCCATCTTGGATTCCCAAATAAGGCATGGACAGAAAGGGTTCTTTATGGAGTTACTCAACTGTGTTGGCTTACGTAAGCAACAGACAGCTACACAGCTAGGGCCCAAAATGGTGTTTCTCTGGCTCCAGTGTACTTAAGGTTTCCAACCTTCAGGCGGTGGCTGGAGATCTCCAGTAATTGCAGCTGGTCTCCAGACGATGGATATCAGTTCCCCTGGGGAAAAGTGCTGCCGTGGAAGGTGGACTCTGGCATTATGACCCCTCAGAGGGCTCCCCTCCCCAAACCCCGCCTTCCCCGAGCTCTAAGTGCCCCCCATGCCTCCTTACCCTAGGGCCTGTTAGTGTAGCTAGGGTTGCCAACGGGCCCGGAGAAGAATGTCCTATGTGAAAACAGGAAGAAGACGAAGAAGAGATTGGATTT